AATCCATAAGCTGTACTTTGGAAATTTATATTCATTAAATAAAATTTTAAAAAAAAGAAAACTGGAAAAAAAACTTACTTGAATGACTGATCCACATCTACAAACTTGAAATGCTTCAGCATAGAAAATGAAGTATTTAAAGGTCAGTTTTTGCAGCCCCTGCTGTAATCCTGTTTTTCAGGGGGCTATTCAGACACACCAGCCCCATTCTGTGGCTGGTGCATTAGCCTGTCCTTGACATGTGGACAGCTCAGAGGAACAATGGCCTCACCTAACAGCAAGGTTGATTCCAAAGTTGACCCCATCACAGTACACTAATTGAACAGACAAGAACATGGAAGTAGAAGAGCAGCTAATAACAGCAAACCAGAAAATATTGATTTACACACAGAAGCAAGGTATTTAAAAGACAGCTCCTCAGAAAATCCTTTCTTCTTTTGTCAAACAGGCATTAGAACTTGTCTTTTCTTCCTACCCTTCAATTAGAAAGGAGACAAAAGAGTGATACTCTTGGCTTTCAAACAAAAGCGAGGGCGAGAGGTGGATACATGGTCAGGTTTAATTGCTTAATAAAGATACTTCCTTTCTCCTCATATGTCTGGCTATAACCCTTTTTCTCTCATAGGCAAATAGAGAGGTCTAAGTCCAACTATTAACTTTTGGCTTAACAGGAAAGAGTTCTAGGGTGTTAGTTTTTCACTTTATAAAATGCAATGACTTGTCGCTGTTTTGGTTTTCTAAGTTAGTTTAATACTTGAAATATAAATGAAAGTGCAGAGATTCTGCCTGAAAGCAATACAGTTCAGAATATTCCCTGTGTAAAGGTTTATAACTTTTATTTGCTAGGTATTAAAATATCGTTGGCCAACAGTTGAGAATACAAAATGAAAATAAAATCTTTGAAAATATGTATATGAGCTTAAAAGTCTTTTGTGTTCAATGACATAGTGGGTGCCTGTTAAGGTTAAATATATATATTTAAGTGAATTTTTATGTATTATAACTGAGCAAGGCAAGTAATGTCAAGAGTAATGCAGGGGTATATGCTTGCTCATTATGGTAATGGGGTATTGGGCGTAGTATTATAAAGGTAAGTACTGGGCATTTTATGCCTACACTCCTGAACGCTAGCATTATTTGGATAGATGCATCTTTCTAGGCATGGGGAACATGAATATTCTAAGCTATACTATGACTTAAATATTAGCCATAAACAGTTTTTCCCAGGTATGTTGATATACCCATTGCTTAACTAAATTCATTCTTTCATCCTGAATCAAAAGTCCATCTAGAAAATGCCATTGTTCATAAAGAATAAAGTCAGAGAGATTTATTTTAATTTTAATTCCTATGGATATTGTTTAAATAAAGACTTTCACGCTGTAAACTTAAAATTCTAGAAGAAACTTCACACAGATCTCGTCACATGCAACTTTGAAGTCCTGAAGCACAGCTGCCTAATTTGTATGAAGCACCCTGCAGTCACTGTCTCTTTGTAGTATTATTTGTCAAATGACTCAAGCGCTGCTTTAAAGTATATGAGAGATCACTAATCAATCCCTATGCCTTTAAATTGCATGCCAAGTCATATATATTATTTCTTCTATGAATGTAACATCTAAATTATAATTTCCTTTGATATCTTTAATTCTTTTAATTGAGAGAAGTATCATGGGCATAAATAAAATTACTATATATGATATTCTAGTAAAAGAGTAAGGACCCAGTAAGAATTTGATTGTGTTTGTCTGTGTGTATATTTGTGTCTGTGTGGTTATCTGTGGTAGACAGACTCTTCTGTGAGAGATAGAAATATGATTGGATACTGTGGGGAGTTTTCATAAAGCTCAAATGCTCTCATTTAGCATTCAAATGTTAACTATGCAGGGCTCATACATATTCTGGTTAAAAGTTTGGGTTTCTCATCAGTCCTTGGTGCTTCTCTCATTCTGTTACACTTCAATTGCTTATAAAAAATCTGCTTGGATTCTGCCCTTATGATTCCTAATTGCACCATATTATTACTTGAGATCCTCTGAAAATATATGTTACACATCTCTATAGTAAAACTGGTTAATTAGAGTACCTGAGATAATTAGAAAATACAGTATAAATGAAAAGTATTATGAAGAATAAACACAGGAAGTGTGTGCATGTTTGAGACAGAGGAAAAATTGGAAAGAAAGCCAGAGGATAAAGACATCCACACACAATGGAGGGAAGGGGAAAAAAGGGAGAGAGGGATGTTTGGATAGATGGAAGGAGGGAGGGAGGGAGGGAGGGAAAGAGGGAGAGGGAGAGGGAGAGAGAGGAAGAGGGAGAAATGGCTGCCCTCAAATAGGAAAAAAACTTCTTTAAACTTGTTTTGTTGTTGATCGTTTATTTGTTTCAGGAAGTACTTTCTTGGTTTAATTAACAGGATTTGGAAGCCAGGCCATCAATTGAAAAAAAAGAAGAGGAAAAGGAAAGAAAAGGTGATTATCCATCTAACTCAAAGGAAAATAAAAAAGGCGATTAAAGGAACTAACTTTGTGAAGGCAGTACTTCACTGGAACCATCATTAGACAAGAGAAAGCAATATAAAGAACAGAAGAAGTTAACGTTCCATGAGATCCTAAAGTTGCAGAGAGCTCTAGAACCCGCCCCCCCCCACATTCAATTAAACATGCAAAGTACCCGAGAAGAATGCTGGAATATGGATGGGAGAATTTTTGGTCAAGTGTAATAATCAAAAATCTATCTCAGGATTATACTGGTTTCAAGAGTGATAGCCAGTAGCAGTACCAAGGTTCAGTGATTGTTAAATGTTGAAATTATGTCTGTCCAATCACCCTGAGAGTGTGTCTATCTAGGGTTCTTTGCTTGTCCTGACCTGTAACCAGTAACTCAAATATTAGTGCCCAGACCCCTAGACCACTGTTCTTCCTGATTTGTCTGTACTGCATGCCAATCAACATTCTTTTTAAAAAAGATTTATTTATTTGAATGTCAGTGTTATAGAGGGATGGAGGAGAGAGAGAATCTTTCCCCCATGACCACAATGGCCAGGGTTGATCCAGGCCACAGCCAGGATCCAGGAGCATCATCCAGGTGTCTTATGTGGGTAGAAGGGGTCCAAGGACTTGGGACATCCTATATGGATTTTCCCAGGCCATTAGCAGGAAGCTGTATCAGAAGTAGAACAGCTGGGACATGAATAGGTACCCATGTGGGATTCTGGCATCAGAGGTGGTGGCTTTACCTGGCATGTCACAATGCCAGTGCTTCTAAATTCTTGTGCTTGATTTTTCTTTCTTGTCCTCCTAACTCAAGAGTCAACCTAGTGAATTTGTGTCCCAGTAAATACCATCTTTCCTGCTTGTCCAAGGAGTCCTAAGAAAATGTGGCAATCAGGCAGGTACCATCATGGGAGCCACCCCCAAACACCCACCAAGTGATGCAGTATCTTACCAGACACAAAAGGCAAGAGTCCAGGGCGGATGCTGGCAGTATAGGTGAGGGTGGTGGGATGCCACCAGTCTAATAGATGGCCAATGAACGTCCCTGTTCAACAACTCTTGTTCACATTTGTTGACATTCAATAATAGAATTTTCTTGAAACAGACCTGGCCTTTGTGTTTGGGATATTAACTGCATCAATATTATCTTTCGCAAACTGCTATTGCATATCAGAGAAGACAGTGGTGGGGGCTCAAGTACTTGAGTCCTTGTTACCTGTATGGGAGACCTGGATGGAGTCTAGCCCAGCTCTAACTGCTGTGAGCATGTAGAGAGTCAATCAGAGGATGGAAGATCTTTCTCTTAGGCTCTCCCTTGTTCTGCCTTTTGAATAAGTATGTATGTATGTATAATAAATAAATATGTATAATAAAAAGGAAATACAACCTCTTTATCATGTATCGAGGACATTCTAGACACACATGCACACACAGCCACATACACGAATGTAAGCTAAGTTTATGCCATTTAAGTCATTCAGATGAATTATTTATGGAGGCGTGAGGAGCTTATTTAACATACTGAGCAGAAAAAGCACGATTTAATACAAAGAGCTGGAAAGCAAAGCCTGTGCTTTTAAATTGCATGCTAAGCACTCTGATTGGCCCTCCTGACTCAACTTGATAATATAATTATCATATATATAATAGATATTATGTATTGTATATAATAATATATAATAATTATATAATAATTATATAATTATAATATAATGGAAATCCCATAAACTCTTCCCAAACTCAAGTTTGGGAAACATTAAATTAAATTAATTTCATCTTCTTTCATTTTTTATTTTAAAATTTAGATCTCTTTGAGTATTTTAAAGTATTTAAAATATTTTTTTCGAAATATATGTCAGGCTTGCAAATAGTGATTCAGAAGAGATTATACTTAGTATTATCCTCATCAAACCCCTACCCCCAGTTCCACTTCTAAGCTTTTGTTATTTTTTTCTTAAATTTCAGCAAGTGGCTGAATTTAATGACCCTAATGTCATAATAATGACTTTAATATGTTCTGAAAAATATTATTATAGTACTATTTAATGATTTATGTACTATTGGAGATACTTAAGAGCACTATAGGACAAGAGCCTAGTTCACTTATAACCACACCCTACTTAATTCTAAAATTGATATTTTCATTTTTGATCCTCTTTTACATGTCTTTTAAGTAACTCCCTGTAATTGTATTTGTCCAATACCTTTTCTCACCTTTACTCTGTATCTGTACTCCATTTATTCTTCTGCCAGGGACACCTACTTTCCTCCATCTGAGGAACACATTTTTACTTTATCATTAAGACTGATAATATTTCAATTCTCTTCTGCAATCACAGTGAGTGCCTTCCACTTGGAGATAACTTCAACGTTCAATGTGGTGATAGCATGATCTTACATGAGACTCCATTTTTAGGATGGAAATCAAACATCTTAGAACTCAGTTGCTCAGTTGCATCTCTCAAGAAGTAAACGACGTTCCAAGACTTCTATCTACAGTACCTGTAACTTTGAGCTTTTCAGCCCCAATGGTGATCTCGTCTTCATCTGCAGAAAACAGCAACCTGCCATGTTCACTGGCTCTCACTTCAAATCTTTTACACTGAGCTTCCACAGCATCAGCTCCTAAGGTCAGAGGAAAGGTTTAACATGAAACTGGTGCACAGGAAAACATTAACACATACATTTTTAAGAAAAAGAATAGATATACAGTGATTATCCTGTTCTTCTCTGCTCTGTTTTACACCTGCATTAGGATTTTAAAAATCTATCCTTTTCAGGAGACCGTTGAATTTTGTAAAGTGTTTCTGGGCTAAGTTGGTGGGAAATGCATGCCATATGACCTCTAAATTTCTGGCCTGGTCTCCATTAAGTCAGTGGGTTTAGCCAGTTAAAAAACTTTTTCATTTCTACAAACTTTAATGTTAGCGCCCATATTTGTAATACATATTAATTTGAGAGGAGAGTTTTGTAAGAAAGTCTAACTGGATCTTAAAGACGAACACTGATTGAGAAAGAAGAAATTTCCATGAACAAAGGTGAGGAATTACTATTTTCACAACACCAAATGCACTCATTTGGTGTAACACAGTTGGCATGTTTCCACATATTCTCCTCCTTTTAAGATTTGGAACATTCCTCACCTATTCATTTATTTCGATTATTTATTAGATATGTGACTAAAAGGAACTCAAAAGGTGTGATTGTCTCTGTATTACTAAATACTCTCTAATTTAGAATATATGTGGTTTCCATGCAGCTCCCTGCTAATGAGCCTGGGAAAGTAGCAGAGGATGGCCTAAGTACTTGGGCCCCTGCACCCATGTGGGTGACCTGGAAGAAGCTCCTGGCTTTAGATCAGCTAAGCTCTGGCCATTGCAGCCATTTGGGGAGTGAATCGGTGGATGGAAGACCTTTCTTTCTGACTCTACCTCTCTCTGTAACTCTTTCAAATAAATAAAAAATGTTTTTTTAAAAAGAATACATGTGGTTTCTACTGGGCACTTAGTAGATGAATGTCAGATAGGTGAATGAATTTTAGACTTTAGCTTTCCCTTTGTTTGGTTCCTAACCCTGTATCACCTCTATTCCCCATGCTAGTGCACAGCCTATAAGAAATGATGCCACCTACTGTCAGATTCTGATGAAGATTAAACAAGAGGGAGACATGAACTAAAAGACCTGTTACCATGTAAGGTAAGTTTTCTGAAAAGTGTATATTGTTCTTATATCATAAAAAGTATGTATAAATACACATTTATAAACTGACATAAACACTTGAAAAGCTTCAGCAAGGGCTATGCTAAGTAAGACAAAATTGGTGTTAAATTTATGGGCTGCCAAGTTCAAAATAGCATGAATGTAGTTTAAAATTTTGTTATTTTTTTTTAAATAAAAACCTTCCCTTATTTAATGAGAGGCAGAGGAAGCCAGGGGTGACATATTGTCTTTGGCACAGACTTTTTCTTTGATCTTGAAAACATTATTTCAACAGATTGTATTCAACTGAATGTGTTTTTTCTAAAAATGGTATAACTTTTCTATACCATCCCTTTGAACTTTGGAGTCATAATAAGTAACCCAATTTGTTATGTTCAACGATCTGTACTTTAGGCCAATGTGGTGATAAATGTGACTTCTGGGTTTGAAGTCGCTATGTTTAAATGTATCTTTTAGGGACTCAGATATACATTAAACTTGAACTACCTGCAAGATAGAATAGATATTTTAGATATAAAATCTTAACATTTACATTGCATTGATTCCTTTAAATATACTCAATTGCTGAACTTACTTGATTTAAAAATATATCATCTTATACCACAGAAATACATTAAATCACTATATAGATATGTATGCATACATATACACCCTCACATTTTACATATATATATACACACATTAGCAAGACTTCTCATCATAATACTATGTCTTTATATACAAGATAATTTATTAACATAACATATAGGCTATTAGGAATTCAAGTTGACTGGTCTCCGGATTTGGCAAATTGAATTGAAATTTTAATTCATTAAAATTAAATGAGGAAAGGCAAATAAGAAAATGTTTATGCACCCAGAATGGATGAGATGTATCTAAGCCATAAATAAACACATGCAGAATCATCCAATTGAACAATAAATATAAAAATTAGTACTTCAGATAACATTTTATTCATCATATTAGCATAATTACAGAGGGTAAATTGCAAGCAATTAACAATGTAATAAATATTTTAAATCAGAAAATAATTTTGAATACATTGTATTTACATATGTTGCTTTCCTTTTCTGCAAGTAGAGAACTAAAATATGTAATCAAAGATAAAGTAAATTGTTGGAGATATTTATGCTTAAAGATGATAAATTCAATTGATGAATTGAATGCAGTATATCCTGACATTCTTTGGCTATCTGGTTTTCATTTTCTAATATCCTATTTGGTAGACTAGATCAACACAGGCTCTAATTATTCAAAGTAGTAGTAATGCCCAGCTCAGTGTTAATCAGTGATGCTTCCAGTAAAGCAATGTTCTGTGATGACTTTGGATGAAAAAGTAACGTTCCTCTACAAGTAGATCACAGGAGATGGAATTATCTAAGTAGAACTTTATTTTCTTATTCACCTCACACGCCAACTTGCCAACTAAAGTACCAAGACTATAATCTCTAAAGGTTATGTCAACAACTTCATACTTCATACCAGGCAGGAATTTCAGGGTTAGAATTGGCAGGTTAAAGAGAAAAAAAAACAAAAACATGATATCCATCCTTATATATCCCTACTGCATGACTCTCGATCAACACCAGTTTCTAGACCAGTGTATTACATTCAGTAATTGCTCAATTAAAATATATTTTATAACTGTGATAAATCACACTACTATCCACCATTTGTATTTTTTTATCACTGCCTTGTCCATAATCTGTGCTATCACAAATTACTGCCTTTGATGTTTTTTTAAAAAAACAAAAACTTACACATACAAGCATTGCATCAGAAATTATTGTGTTTTTGCTTGTTTGTTTGTTTGTTTTTGACAGAGTTAGACAGTGAGAGAGACAGAAAGAAAGGTCTTCTTTTCCATTGGTTCACCCCCCAAATGGCTGCTACGGCCGACACACTGTGCCGATCTGAAGCCAAGAGCCAGGTGCTTCTCCTGGTCTCCCATGGGGTGCAGGGCCCAAGCACTTGGGCCATCCTCCACTGCACTCCCGGGCCACAGCAGAGAGCTGGACTGGAAGAGGAGCAACCAGGACAGAATCTGGTGCTCCAACCAGAACAGAACCGGTTCCCCAACTGGGACTAGAACCCGGTGTGCCGGCACCGCAGGCGGAGGATTAGCCTAGTGAGCCACAGTGCCGGCCTCAGTAATTATTCTTAACACTCACAGAAGGATTAACTATTGTTGCCAACATTGGTGGTATCTTCAGTGTCACCTTTCCTTAATTACATGTCTCCTGCCCTTTAGAGTTCAGAGGGGTCCACCTTATCTCAAAATGAATGTGATTACTCTCATGTTTATAGCTTTAGCATTTATGTATGCTTTCTTAATACATTTTCTTAGTTGCACCATACCCACTCCCATTCATCTTTATATTAGTTGTGTACTCAGGTGATTAGATTTTCTTCAAACAGTATTGGGCTCCTGAGGGTCATCTATTTAAGTTCATGTAGCTTTGGTCTGTTCTACATTGCTTTGGCTGTGTTGCATGGATATGTTAACAGTGGTTCATTTTCAATGGAAAATCAGCTTGTTTCTAGCAATTCAGAGTTAGGAAATATATCACAGATGTTTTTGTACGAATCTCCTTCCTAGTAGAAAGTTTTCTAGGGCACCTACTTTAGGGATGGGATTGCTGCTTTTAGAAGAAAATACTTCAAATATACTAGACAGGAGATGGTACTGTGGTGAAGGAAGCTAATCCCATATGGGCAAATGTTTGTGCCTTGGCTGCTCCTCTTTCATTCCAGCTGTTTATGGCCTGGGAAAGCAGTAGAAGATGGCCCAAGTGCTTGGGCCCCTGCACCCACGTGGGAGACCTGGAAGAAGCTCCTGGCTCCTGGCTTTGGGTCAGCCCAGCTCTGGTTGTTGTGGCCATTTAGGGCATGATCCAGAGGATGGAAGACCTTTCTCTCTGTATCTCCATCTCTGACTCTGCCTCTCAAATAAATAAACCAAATCTTTAAAAAAATATACTAATGTTTTTCCTACTGTTTTAATCAATGTATATTTCTACCAAGAGCATATGAGAGTTCCTGTATCTCTACATCATTGCAAGCACATTATTATTGTCCGATTTTGTAATTTTTTTGTCAATCTGAGTGTACAAGTAAGTTACTATGGTTTCAATTTATAATTCTCTGATGACTGTTGGGGTAAATGTTATTTTTGTGATTAGCAGATTTTTTTCTTTTTATGAAAAAATGAACTTCCATATTTTCTTTTTTTCTATTTCATATTTAATGGTAAGAATTTTTTTTTTGACAGGTAGAGTTATAAACAGTGAGAGAGAGAGACAGAGAAAAAGGTCTTCCTTCCGTTGGTTCACTCCCCAGATGGCCACCACAGCTGGCACTGCGCAGATCCGAAACCAGGAGCCAGGTGCTTCCTCTTGGTCTCCCATGCGGGTGCAGGGCCCAAGCACTTGGGCCATCCTCCACTGCTCTCCAGGGCCACAGCAGAGAGCTGGCCTGGAAAAGGAGCAACCGGGACTAGAACCCGGCGCCCATATGGGATGCCAGCACCACAGGTGGAGAATTAACCAAGTGAGCCATAGTACTGGCCCCAATGGTAAGAGTTTTTATACATAAAAATTATTTGTCAGATTCCTTTCCAGCTATGTTTGTTGGAAAATGTGCCTCCCTGTTTGTGACTTTATTTTACCATTTTTGCTTGGACATTATTGATGAATAAAAGATTTTCATTTTATTGTGGCAACATTGTCAAAATTTTTCTTTGCAAATCATGCTTCTTGTGATTTAAAATCTGACCTTTCTACCATTATATTTTTATAAAGGTATTTCCTATTGTTTCTGGTTATCATAATTTAGATTTTCTACTTTTAAAAATATTTTATTGGATGCTTAGCTTCCATATAAATAATAAAGTATAAAAATTATAA